ATAGTTAAAGTAATTAAAACATGGTCCCAATGACATGTTGTGTTATTTGGTTTGTTTTCAAGAAAGAATTACCTTTTAAGAAAATGTGTTTTTGGTAGGTTTTAAAATATAAATTAGTTGTGGTTTTGGTTCTTGTGATATGTAAAATGAATATTCTTAAAGTAGTTATCACGTACCTTTTTAAATTTTTTAGTTGAAATTATTATTATTATTATTATTATTATTATTATTATTATTAAATATTTAAAAAGAATAATTTCTATAATTTTATTTTTCTTATATATTAACAAAAAAATAATTTTATACAATGTAATATATAACCATATTGTTAACCAATATAAGCATCCACAGTTATCGAATGCTGACAAGCGAAGGCGGCCACAACAGCCATTGTCGTCAACGAAAACAGCTATAAAAACTCCACCTCAAACAGCCCTTTTTGTAGCTGTATCAAAACCCCACAACTTTTTCACCATCTTTCCTCCATTAAAACCACCGTCCGCCTCCGCAGTCCTTATTTGAATCAAAACCCCAACTCTTTTTTCCGTTTTCCATATTTATAAATAATAATCCCCCACGATTTCCATCCCCAATCAAAAATGGACTCTATTTCCGCCATATTCATATGGCTAGCTCCATACATTCTATCCATGGCTGCATTTCTGATTTTCTTAGAGCAAATCAATTACTTGAAGAAGAAAAGATCCGTCCCTGGCCCGAGTTTAGTGTTGCCGTTCATCGGAAACGCAATTTCACTCGTCCGGAATCCCACCGAGTTCTGGGACCTTCAATCCGCCATGGCTAAATCCTCCGACATGGGATTTTCCGTCAACTATATAATCGGAAGATTCATCGTCTTCATCCGTTCAACCGACCTTTCTCACAAAGTCTTCGCTAACGTCAGACCCGACGCCTTCCACCTCGTCGGCCACCCATTTGGTAAAAAGCTTTTCGGCGAACATAACCTTATTTACATGATGGGTCAAGAACACAAGGATTTACGACGCCGTATTGCCCCCAACTTCACCCCTAAAGCTCTTTCAACTTACACACAGCTTCAACAATACACCATCCTCAAACACCTTAAATCATGGATGGAGTCGCCGGAATCCAACACTAAACCCTTTCCTCTCCGGTTGCTCTGCCGCGACATGAATTTAGAAACCAGTCAGAATGTTTTCGTTGGCCCGTATTTGAGCGGAGATTCGAGGAAGAGATTCGAAGTGGATTACAATTTCTTCAATGTCGGATTGATGAAACTACCGATTGATTTACCGGGAACTGCTTTCAGAAACGCTAGATTAGCAGTGTCGAGACTCATCGAAACCCTCGCCGTTTGCGCGGAGGATAGTAAAACGAAGATGAAAACCGGCGAGGATCCTACTTGTTTAGTCGACTTCTGGATGCAAGACACACTCCGTGAAATCGCCGCCGCGGAAGAAGCTGGAGAAAAACACCCACCACCACACAGCAACAGCACCGAGATCGGCGGCCACCTCTTCGACTTCCTATTCGCATCACAAGACGCCTCCACCTCCTCCCTCCTATGGGCGGTGACGTTACTCGACTCCCACCCGGACGTATTGGAGAGGGTAAGAACAGAAGTCTCCGGTATATGGACTCCGGAATCCGATACACTGATCACGGCGGAGCAGCTGAGGGAAATGCGGTACACGGAGGCGGTAGCGAGGGAGGTGGTCAGGTACAGAGCACCGGCGACATTGGTTCCACACATCGCCGGCGAAGACTTCCCGCTAACGGACACTTACACGATTCCCAAAGGTACAATCGTTTTCCCATCCGTGTATGAATCTTCATTCCAAGGGTTCATTGACGCAGACCGGTTCGACCCGGACCGGTTCATGGAAGAAAGACAAGAGGACCGGGTTTACAAGAAGAACTACCTGGCATTTGGAGCTGGGGCCCACCAATGTGTCGGACAGAGGTACGCAATTAATCATCTGGTTCTGTTTATTGCGATGTTCACATCGTTGTTTGACTTCAAGAGAGATCGAACGGACGGCTGCGATGAGATCACGTATGTCCCTACCATCTGTCCACGTGACGATTGCAAAGTTGTATTATCACTTAGATGTAGACGATTTCCAAACCTCTCGTGAGTATAAAAATTAAAACATGTTGTTTGTGTTGGAGTTGGATTTATACAATTGTTGGGTTGTGATTAGGTGGTCAACGATAGATGTCTCTCATTTCATTTGTTACAATTTGTAATAATTTTATTTTGAATTTTGATTTCTTCAATGGTAAATGGGTGGATTGATTAAATAATACACAAAATTGTTTGAATGGTGTTTAACTGTTTGCCAACGGTATTGACTCTTTCGGTAAAAAAAAAACTATTTGCCAACGGTATACAATATGATTTGATATCCAATAATATATAAACAAATTATAAGATATTGAATATGTCGGTGTAAAATGTCGTATAACCTTTTGCCAAATTTCTAAAATCATGAGCACGCGAAACTTGATCTTTATGATTCAGCTATCCTAAATAGAACGTCACAGACGATGTTTTAAAAACCGAATTTTTATTTGAATCCATCTGCTAATGGGTTATTGGTTAATCTGGTTAAATCAGTTCGAGCTCCGGCTTCCACAGTTTTTATATATTTTCCATTTCCTATATGCATGCATATGTATATAAAATCAAGAATTTTTCCTACAACTCGCAGTGGGTGTGTATTGATCTTCGAGTTGTATACATTCTGGTTAAACTGATTTATCGTGTTTTTCAAGTTGCTTTGAAAACTAGTTGTTTTTTAACAGACTTGTTTCGTTGCTAATTGTATAGTTAAAATTAGCAACCAAATTAATTCCCACGATAATATGTTACTGGGATAAAGTAATCCATATGGTTGTAGTAATCAATATGGTTGTGTTTGAAACCCCTACGTTGTGGTCTTCTATGTCCAAGGGGAATGATCCTTTGAGTAGGCTACTCAGATTAGTTTTTTTTTTTTTCTTTTTTTTTTAGTAGCCTAGACAGTTTATATGCAGAATTTAGGTCTGCTGATATGCCTACTGCTTCCAAAAAATCGGTTTTGTTAACCTTATCACTTTTGTTAGTATAAAAAAAATAGATATGTCAGATTTTGGCCCTCTTTTCAATTTAAACACTTCATATACTCTATAAAATTTCTTATTTTTTGTGTCTAATTCGAAAGTGCATTTGATAGAAAACATAGATTAACGATTCGCGAAACAAATGCAATATAAGGTGGAAATATTATTCACAAAAAGTGAACAAACACAATTAATCAAAATCTGGATTTTAATTATTGAACCGCAATTTTATAAACATAAACTACACCGCATATAATGGTTTTAAAAAACTATAAAGCGTAAACCGTACCACGAATGTGGTGTAGTGCGGTGCGATGCAATTTGGGATGTTTAGTGTACACCCTTGGTTAAAATTATTTGTCAGAATTAGTTGTGAGAGAGACTAAGTGATAATTGACAATTCAAGTTCATCTCATTATTTGCTATTACTTGTATAGGGAAATATATTACGATAACGTAGGCAAATAAATAAGAAATAAGAAATTGTTAAAGAATTTTTTCAGAGTTCTTAAAACCAATTTGTCCATAAAGGGATGGTTGGTTCTAGGATACAACTACTAGAATGATTATTCAAGATTTTTAAACCTTTCTAGGCATGGACACTGTCTATAAAGTAGAAAGGGAATGCAACATAAGAAGGAGAAAGAGAGTAAAATCATTTTTATACCTTTTTCACTATATCTTTTATTTATAAGAAAACAATATTTATCTAGAGTTATCGTAATAGTCGCAACTAAATAATTAATTTTGTAGAAAACACAAAATAAAAACCCGAAAATTAGTTTAGTAATGGATCACATGATCAAAACTGATATACCAACTAATCACAACATTTACCAAATGTCCTTTGGCCTAACGATAATAAGTGACATTCTCAAATGAGAGGTCATGAGTTCAAGTCTCATTAGAAGACATATGTGGTTTTAGGAGTGTGTTAGTTTGTCGTTTCAAAAAAAAAAAAAAAAAAAAAAAAAAAAAAAAAACATTTT